AACATTATAACGCCCCCACGGCTGAAAGGGCGAGCATGTTTGGTGTGACGGGGATTCGAACCCGCGACCCTCAGATTGCGAGTCGAGCGCCCTAACCACCTGGCCATGTCGGGGCCTTAACACGCCCTAACCACTTGGCCATGCCGGGCCGAAAAAATTCAGTCACTGGCAGATATCACTTTACCTTGCCATCAGATGTTTACATAGTAATTACTAGTAATTAGTAAAACCTCTGAACATAGGCGAGATGACGGGGGGTTCAAGGGGAGCAGTTGCCCCCATATTTTGAAAACAACGGTTTATTTAGTTTTTATTTAACTTGAAAGGACTCGCATTGAATTTTGATACTGGGGACATTACAGAATTATAGCTTTTATAAAACTCTAGAGCCCCCCCCCCCAGTGACACAGCGGAATGTCTGCGGACTTACAACGCTAAAAACCGGGCTTCGATACCCGTGGTAGGAAGAGCACAGATAGCCCTTTGTGTAGCTTTGTGCTTAACTACAAACACCAACAACTCTAGAAATACCACGCTATCGGACTCTCTACATCTCTCTGAAACGCTTTCACACACCCTCTTTTTTAAATATTGGGGGGAGGGGTGAAAAGATTTGTTGATTTGCTCAATATTACTGGGGACAAGTCCCGTCTTCACTGAATAAACGGCTTTAGGCAGCTTATATGAAGCACTTTGTCTAAAGTCTGTTGCTCAATTTTTACTTGTTATGTTGTTGTAAATATCTATATTATGATGCTTTCTTTGAAAAGTTCTATATTTGTTCGACAGGTGGTGCTTTAAAATAAAATTTGTAAAAATGAGGACTTTTAAAATTTTGGTTATTTCTTTAAAACATATTTCAACCTTAGTAACGAAGTTCACTACATGAATTATCATCATATAAAGTTTAATTTACCAACACATCTGTACTTTTGTTTTAAGAACATATTTTAACGAAATGTAATATTTCTATTTCAGGGAAACCACACAGCATTGGGAAGAACTTGTTGTGAACCTGCAACAAAAGCGTGGTAAGCCAATCATCCACATGTCATCTTTAAATCAATCTAACTTAGAACTGTCATCTACAAGGTGTTGCAACATCAATTTTAATATATTCTCATTAGTATTCCACTCAAAGGTGAATTAGGGAAAAAAAAACTTGTTTCTCTGAATAGCCAACACAAATGACGAAGGTACTTTTACTCAGAATTCAGTTAGAAGACAGACACTTAAAATGTCTATACCATATGTTGAATAACTAATTTAGGTTTAATGTAAACGACCCCCCCCCAGTGGCGCAGCGGTATGTCTACGGACTTATAACGCTAGAAACAGATAGCCTTCATGTAGCTTTGTGCTCAACTATAAACAAACAAACAAGTTTAATCTAAATAATATTATTTAAATTGACCAGTTATTTCCTTACTAAATTGTTGCTCGCCCTTTCAGACGTGGGGACGTTATAATGTGACGGTCAATCCCACTATTAGTTCATATTTGTTTTTGGATAAGAAAAATAAGCAATCAACCATTGATAACATTATTGTTCTCCATGTTGAGGAGGCAAAACGTATAGTGAAGAAAGGAGGAGAGGCTTCAAAAAAATGTCCACTAGTAGATATTACTCTGAACTAAAGATTGTTGACAAATAGTTAATATTTTTTAAAAGGATTGTTTCGTAAATTCAACGATAAATTACTCTTCATAGCCACTAGGTTAAAACTAATGTCTTAAATGCACAGTTGGAAAATCTGAAATTAGGAAAAACGCGTAGTTGTCTAAGACACTGTACCTCTCTTGGTAGCGTCCCCTGATATCTGGGGTTTGAATCTCACTTCGGGTAATGTGTTGTTTTAATTAACTATAAAATAATATACAATATTAAACTGTATTATACCTTAAGAAAAACAAACATTCAACCAGTGGTATAAAAATATCGCTGTTTTTATAGAGAAACAAACATTCAACCAGTGGTATAAAAATATCGCTGTTTTTATAGAGAAACAAACATTCAACCAGTGGTATAAAAATATCGCTGTTTTTATAGAGATGCAAATATTTTTATCGTTTGTCTTCTTGACGTTTTTTTATTTGTTTTTTTCAGTATCAGAATGTTCAAACAGATTAAACCCTGTGTTCAGGTTTTAGTCAAAATGAAAATAAAAGCTCCTTTATTTTATAACAACATGTATAATCAGGAAATCTGACCATTTTGTATGAGAATAACTTAACATTAAAGAAATAGTTGCAGTTTGTCTAATAAGACTCATAAATGAATCCAAGCTCTTAGTTTCCATGTGCCAAATGTTTAGCTATATAAACTGTTCTTTCATGAATTATAAACTTTACATGTCTCTAACACTTGTAAAGTAACAGAGCTTATACTGCTTGTCAATGCAGTGATATCTGATCACACATTTTACATGTACAGAAACAGTTAAGTTAGGATAAAGGGGTCAGCGTACGAAGATGTTATATATATATGTAGGGATGAGTCCGGTTCTCGTTTTTTCTTCCTTTCAATCAGTTGTAAATAATAAACCACAATGTGCCTATGCTCAGTCTACACACCAAAACACTTCCATACTCCCTAAGATGTGTCTTTTCAACCTAAAGCCCCAGGTTACCCACGATAGGTTAGTTACAGCCCAAAATATATGCAATGATACGGATTGTTTACTATTGCTCAATACGTATATTAACCAATAGATGGCGCCACCAGTAATGCTAATAGTTAAAAAAAAGTCTTGGAAACTAGCAAAAAAAAAATGTTGGAATGTAGAGATAGAAAAAAGATCAGAAAATAAAGAGCATTTGGGATGGGAGTAAAATCTTCATTATCCATTACTGACGTATATATGCATCCACCCTATGAGTGGTTGAATGCAGGAACGGGTAATGCAGATTTTCCTCCCATCCTAACAATGTTAGAATAAAGTTTTGTGTATTTAAACGTTGCTGCTTTTTTCAGTTCCATTAAAATGGCGACCAAGTATTCTCCATTTTTGTTTCTTGTTTAACTTACCCACTATGACGTTACATCTTTGCAGGATTTACACTTTTATGTAACTTGGCTGTTTTTTTGTACACTAAAACGTGTTGATCAGATATAAATGACGCGTTGTTAAATATGTAGTTTGGCTAAGAAGCATCAGTATGAACTATTACGTAGTTTGACACACAGTTGGTGTCTAAACACATTTTTTTGTTTTATTATATAGCAAAGTTACCGACATATGAAAGGAAACTTTCAAAAACCATCGTCAGGCCATATCGTGAAGTGTTCTACAACGATGAATCAAGAGTTATTAGAAATAAAGAATGTATCGAGCCGATTGTGACCACGACACGAAGTTTATCTACCGATTGTGACCACGACACGAAGTTTATCTACCGATTGTGACCACGACACGAAGTTTATCTACCGATTGTGACCACGACACGAAGTTTATCTACCGATTGTGACCACGACACGAAGTTTATCTACCGATTGTGACCACGACACGAAGTTTATCTACCGATTGTAACCACGACACGAGATTTAGCTACCG